GCAGGGGGCAGCGCGGGGCCGGGCGGCGCTGCCCGCGCCTTCCCACGTGGTCTAGCGGTGAGGATTCCTGGCTTTCACCCAGGCGGCCCGGGTTCGACTCCCGGCGTGGGAAGAGAGGTTTTGGGGAGTGGAGGGGACGAGAAGACACCCGCTCCTTTCATAGAATCGCTCAGGTTGGAAAAGCCCCTCGGGATCAATTGAGTCCAACCCTCAGCCCGACTCTACAAGTTCTCCCCAACCCCCCAGCTCATCCCAACGGCCCTTAAACCCCCCCAGGGATGGGGACTCCCCCCTCCCTGGGCAGCCTGGACCACTCTTGCTGGGAAATTTTTTTTCCTAATGTCCAGCCTGACACTCCCCTGTGGCAGTTTCCAGCCGTTGCCCCTTGTCCTGTCTCTGATCCCCTGGGAGCAGAGCCCAGCCCCAGCCTCTCTGCAATGTCCTGTCAGGAGCTGCAGAGACGGATGAGGGCTCCCCTCAGCCTCCTCCTCCTCACACTGAACACTCCCAGCTCCTTCACTGGCTCCCCACAGGATTTATTCTCCAGGCCTTCCCCAGCCTCGTTGCCCTCCTCTGCCCTCGCTCCAGCCCCTCCAGATCTCTCTCGGATTGAGGTGCCCAAACCTGGACACGACACTCCAGGTGTGGCCTCACCAGTGCAGAGAACAGGGGGACTGTCACCTCCCTGCTCCTGCTGGTCACACTAGTGCTTATACAAGCCAGGATGCCATTGGCAAACACCAGAACATTTTGGCTGAACCGCGATGATCAAAGTCAGCAGGAAAGGGGATGAGCTGCTCAAAGTCCCCATGAAAAGATATGCCAAACATACCAAACCAAAAAGTTAGGAATTCCACACCCCAAGGGCTGCACCATCCATCCCCAGATCACCAGCAAAGGGAACAGCATCCCCATATACCAAAGCACCAACCTGGAGGGTTGGGAATGCCGTGCCCTGAGGGCCACGCCAGCCCCAGATCACCAGAAAAGGGGATGCACCCTTATATCCCAAAGCAGGAAAGGGGACCCATCCCCATAGCCCAAACGCACCATCCTGGCAAGTTGGGAAATTCATACCCTGAGGGCTACGCCAGCCCCAGCACAGCCTCCCTCCCTCCCCTGGGAGCGCTGATCCCACCAGTTATTTTTAACGTCCCTCTCCCGACAGGCCGGAGCAGCTGGTTTCTCCCTCCAGCCCTGGATCACCCCAGCCGAAGCGTGTCCCCGGCGGGACCGGGCGCCCTGATGCACAAGAGGATGGGCGAGGCGGTGGCCCGCGTAGCCAGGAAGGTGAACCACACGGTGGAGAACAAAACGGATTCCCTCGGTAAGCCCAGCACTGCGGCTCGGCTCCCGCTTGGGGCCCAGAGAAGGATCAGGTATCCGGGAGCAGGGCTCTATTTTTTACTGCCACAGTCTAAAAAAAGCTGTTGGCCCCCCCTCTGGGTGCTGCACCCAAGGCTGCACCACAGGCCCGGGAAGGGAAAAGCTCCCCCAAAGGGCTCTCAGCCCCACCAAAGTTTGAGCAGGTTCTCAGTAACAGCACATAGGACATGCCCCAGGGATAAAGGCTTTCCTTGCAGTCAGTGGTGGAAGACAGACCCCTCCCCAAATCCCCTCGTGAGATTTGTGTTTTTCTGTAATGTCTCCATTTCTAGTTAATATCCAACACCCACACGCAGTTCATCAAAGGAGAGAGCGATGAAAGTCACTCATTTTTATTCATGCTGGATTCCCAGCCCTGGGGTATAAACCAGCGTACGCTGAGAGACAGAGCTTCATTGCTCAGCCTCTCAACATCCTCCTGAGTGAGATAAGCAGGGGAGGACTGGGCTTGTGCAGCCCCCGCCGTGGCTTCAGGGAGGGGGCAGGCAGCAGAGCCCAGGCTGAGCATCACAGGGCCAGCACACAGGGTTTCCATTCCCTGTCATGTCCCAGGAGGAGAAACAGAAACAACTTAGAGCAGAACAAAAATGCCAACAGGAGAGAAGCACAGCTAAATCCTTTTCCCCTCCCCGCTGCTTGCCGTGGGGCAAGCACGCATCACCATGAGAAATCCAGCCTGGAGCATGCCCAGGGGAAGCCCTGCTCCAGCTCCACCAGCAGTGGAGGAAGCATCCCTGTGATGCTCGACCTCCCCTGGGGGTTCAGGGTTATAGGGAAGGAGGATTACTGATGTTATTAGACATGGACAGGCTGGCTGGAGGATTTGCAGAAAGACATTGCAGCATGAAAATATTTGCAATGTGATTTAGGGTTGACTGAGACAGAACAGCCTTAGCATTGCTGATGGAACAAACTATAGGTACTTGCAGAGGTGGCTGTGATGGAGTATGGCAAGGGACATGATAGCATCCACGGGTAGCAGCACCCAGAATGGCAAATCAGTCATTAAGGGGTGGAAAATGAGATGAAAAGCATTGCTCCATCCCAGCTGGGGTGCATTATAAGGTGTCTGGGTCTCTCTGCGGGGGCAGATCTGGCCAACTGCAAGCTGATGACCTTCCCTGTCGGCATCTACAAAGCCATGAGGAGCGTCACCGAGGGGATCCACTGCATCTCCCTGGCAAACAATGAGCTGAAGTCCCTCACTGGCCGATTCATCACCACCTTCAGCCAGCTGAGAGGTAAGGCACTGCCTCACTGCTTCGCAGTGGCCACTTCCAAACCCCTGGACCCAGCAAAGAGCCCCCAGGTTGCTGAAGAGGGGGCACAGCACTAGAGAGATTCCTGCACCATGGGTTTCACTCTCCTGCACTTGAGCCTCATTCCAAGCACTAATTCAGACACCCCAAAATCCATTTTTCTTTACCCTTTTCAGCCCTTGCAGGAAGGCAGCACTGGTTTTGACTCTCACCCACCCCTCAACAACTCATGCCCTGCCACCTTCCAGCAGTGGCCAGGCTGCTGCGGGGTCACTCATCAACCTCCAGCTCCACCAAGGGTAGGGCTGGGGATGAAAGAGGCCAGGAAAGGCAGCCTGGGCGTAATGGTGCATGGCAGAGATGGGGAAGAAGGCATGCTGATTTACTGCTGGCTAATTAGCTCCCATCATGAGACAGGGAAAGTTGCTCGCTCTCAGCTCACTGCAGGAGATGGGGACAGTCATCAGTGCATGGCCGATGCCATGGGGACGCGTCCCTGTGGAGCCCAGTGAAGGCAGCAGAACCTAATCTGCTAAAACATGGTCATGCAAGCATCCAGGGCATCCGGTGCCATGGTTCTGATGGCTGGGGACTGCACTGGGGCTTTGTCTGCCTCCAGCAGCACTTGGGGTTCTGGCACCTTTTAAAAGCAAGTATTTTGCTCATAGGATGTACTGCACTAGTGCTGCCATGGTGGGTGTCTGGAGAGGCTTCCCATGTTGTACTGGAGCATCATCCGTGAAAACTCTCCTAAACTGGAGAAAAAAAACCCACGTTGAGCAAAGGAAATCAATTTTCATTTTTTAGACAGCACGGTGAGCCCTGAGGGGAAAAAAAGAGTCTTGTTTCACATCAAGGGCTTTGCTCCACCAGTGAACAAATCAATCTAGTGATGAACATGCCAGGCCTCAGCAGGACTGTTGGAGGGGGGTAAAGCCCCAGGGCTGTGGACAGCCTTGCACCAGCCACAACAAGGCAGTACCTATAAATACCAGGTATTAGCAGGAGCAGGGCAGCTTGCATGAGTATTTATAGAGCAGAAAGCCCTGTGTCACTGGAGAAGGGCACTGGGACAGCAGCATTTGGGTTCCTGTTTCTACAGCCTTTCATGTAGGAGTGCTGTTCCTGTCCCCACAGGAGCTCATTTGGGGAGTGGAGCATCAGAAGGTTAAACTCTGTAGAATAGATAGTTTTTTCACATATAATAAAATTTCTTCCACCACTCTGTTTATACGTCAGAAGGGGTTCAGGCACGTGAAGACAGAAAAACTAGCCTCAAGCCATGACCGATATCCATTGTGGGGGGAACAACACCAACGTCACTAAGAATTATTGTTTATTTCTACAGCCCCTGCTTGCAAAATGCTGCACAAGTTTCATTAGGAAAGCCTGAGGAAGCAAAGAAATCTATTGCTCCTAAAAGCAGTATTCACAGCAGGCAAAAGTACAGACCACAGAGATGAGAAAAAAAATCATATTTTTGGAGTTGAAATTCCCTGGCTGGACCTGGCAGTCCATGGGGGAGCAGAGGCTGTAAGTTAAGATATGCATTAATAATTTTCCCATCCTCTCCCCATCCCACCACCTCTCTCCCCCAAACCACAGAGCTCAACCTGGCAGGCAACTACCTGCACCGCCTGCCTGAGGAGGTCACCTCCCTGCTGCACCTCCGCGCCATCAACCTCTCCAGAAACAGGTTTCGGCGTTTCCCCGAGCCCCTGGCCGCTGTTGCTGCCCTGGAGACCATCGACCTGGAAGAGAACGAGATCACAGGTGAGCAGGATGTTTTTCTGCTGGAGGGGAGGATGAGCAACACCCCAGAGTAATTGCACTTCCCAGTGGTGATGCCAATCCACATCCCTGGGCTGGGAGAGATGCGGGCTCCAAGCTTTGCTCGTGGTCCATCATTCCCTGCAGATGCAACCAGGCCAAGGAATGGTTTAGTGATCCAGCAAAAAGAGAATTAATTTGGCAGGGAAATGCTAAATAGACAGAGCCTTGTTAGCCACCAGCTTGCGCCGCCTCCTGGGGTGAAGCTGTTTCAGGTGTAGGGGGAATCAAGCCCCATTCAAGCCTCCCTACTGACCGCACTGGGATATGGCTCTCAAAGGCAGCTCCAGCTGTGACTCAAAATCACCGGATTTAATAAAAATCTAGGCCTGAGTGCAGAACCCAGCCCTAAGTATGCTGGGCTGGGATGTTTGCTGCCAGGCAAAGTAAGGGCACAAGCCCACCCAAACATTTCCCAGAGCAAATAGGAGCCGTGACATTACAAAACCCCCTAAAAAAGTGAAATGAAAGGAATGGTAAGAGCCACTCATCCCTCAACCCTACAGTGGGAGGAAAATCTTTTACACACAAAGCTGAAGCCTTTGGAGTCCCAAAAAACTGGGCAAAAGGGGCAGCTGTTGCACATAGATAAAAGAGGATTTATTTAGGAGCGAGCTTTCAAAAAGTGCAGGCTAGAGCATCCCACAGCCCACACGTATCCCCAGGGAGGCAAATATTGAGTCCGCTCAATTTTACTGTTTTATCTGGGATGTCTTTAGCTGCTGCTGGGAAAGCTGCTCCCTGCAACACAAGTTTTATTAACAGCATCAGCTGCTCCCTGGCCATGCCTGTAGAAACACAGCACATTAAATACCGCTTCCAAGAATGTCAGCAAAGGATGTGATTTTTCCTCACTCCTTTTTCCCCTCCCACAGCGAGCTGTCTCACTCTTAGTTCCCTCCATCACTTTCTGAGTTTAATTGGCCAGCTTCAATCAGACCTGGTCTCCAAACAGCATATTTCCCACTCATTTTGTGCAAGCAGGATGCAGCAAGAAGGGAATACAGCTTTTTGTTGCTTTTCTTCCCCTGATTAAATGCAGGGAAGAAAGGATGGATCAAGGGCAGTACCCAGCTGGATTAATCCTAGGGGAGGGAGCAGCTAGAAAACCCAACTCCTAGGCTTGGTCACATCCCAGGCTCTCCTTAGCTGCTGCTATTGGACTCTGGAAAAATAATGACAGAGTATAAATTAAGAATTTAATGCTAAAATGTTTTAGGAACATATCTTAATAATGAGCACAATGCTGTACGCTGCAGAAATAGGTAAGATTGTCTTATTTTACACATTTTCTGGAAAGGAAGAAGTAGATTAGAAAGCTGGGGGTGCTGTAGCCCATTTTTCCAAGGAAAACAAAACTCTGGGCAATCACATTGCTCCTGCCAGCCCTTCCCAAATGCCTCTCAGGCTCATCTGCACATGTTTGCATTTTCATATATATGCATTTCTAATATATGCTAATACAGTTTTATAGATTATCTATGAACTTTTATTTATACGTGCACCTTTTCCTCCCACACCAGCCTGGCAAAGCAGTGGAAGGAGAGTTAAGAAGAGTCCATCAGCTTGAAATTAAATAGCAAAAATTTACTTTTTCCTTAACAGCCAAGTAGGATTTGAGCCCTTCATGCTCATTTCATGCCAGGAGATCTTAGATGGGGCTGTAGGAGATGGCATATGCTTTTTCTCCCTCTGCATGCATACACATCTCACCCACTACAGCTGGCTGAGGACCCTGTTTTAGCAGCTGGGTCTCATGAGGTGCAGCTGAAACATCCTTGAAAGAGCTCTTGAGGGATCTGAAAGTTTATCCAGATGCTGTTTCCCAGCAGCAGTACCTACATACCTCTAAGCAGCTCAGCATGAGAAAGCACTACCCCAGTAGTGCAAAAGCTGCATTTTGCTGCCTTTTATTATTTGGGATGCAGGTTTCCCCACTTAGTCCAATAACAAGTTGAGGACTCTGCTCCAGATAAAAAAACTGGTAGGTGAGAAAGCAATACCTTACAGACTATGGAGGGGAGATGGAGTTTGGGGAAGGACTGGGCCTTTTTTCATCAGCATGAAGGTTACAGATCTCCAGATTTTTGGTGCTGCTGTAGCCATGTGCTATTCCTGCTCCTGACTGTTTTCCTCTGCCTCTCCATGATGCTGAAGGAACTGATACCAGGGCAGCAAACCAGATTTAAAAGCATCTCCTGAAAGAGGGCTGAGTCACCTGCTAAGACATACTGAACTGGGGATGGTAGGTAATGTTTTCCAGCTAAAGGGAAACAGGAGTAAAAGGAGGTTAATTAACACCTGCTTGGAGTCTGTGGGCTTTGTGAAAGGAGACATTTGGTGTCACAAACTGCCCTTTTCATCTTAATCAGCTGAACCCTGGAGCTTAATTATGTGTATATTAATGTCAGTGCTTTTACCTCTTTCTCTGCTAATTAGAGTTACATCCGGTTAGTATTTTCAGCTCCTAAGTCTATGGGGATTTTTGGTGCCTGAAGCTTTAGTTTCTCTTTCCTTATTCCTTGATTAATGGTTTAATGCAGAAGATGTTGAAACAGCAAGGGGGATGCTGGAGACCACTGCTAAGGCTGGGCAGGTTACTGCTGGGAGCAACTGTGGCTGACCTTCTCCTCCTGAGCATCCAAGAAAGCCACTGTTAATTTGGGATAATGGCATGGAAAACGCGTTTTTGTTAATAGCTGTAGAAGAGCCAGCGAGCAGGTTTCCATCAGCGGGTTTGGAGGAGGCTAGCAGGAGCTGGTGGCCACTAAAGGATGCGGGTAATGCTGAAAGGTAACTGGGAAGCAACTCTGAGCTGAGCAGGGTCCTTCCCCCTTTAATTTGCAGCCCTACATGGCCATAAGACCTTCGGGGCTGATAGTGTTCATTATCCAGCTCCTCAGATGCCTCCCAGTGCCTCAGCAGCCCTTTCATCTGAAGGAGCTAGGTTTTTCACTCATTTATAATCATATTCTGATCTAAGAAAATTGCTGTTTGCTTAAATTATTGAAAATCATCTCCCCCCCCTTTTTTTTTTTTTTTCCTTAACTGGTGAAGGCAGCATGAATAATTCAGGCTCAAACGTGAGTGCCTGATCCACCAGGGAGCCAGCAAGTGATGCTTCAGGTTGCTTATAGAGGAGTTTGTGACTCCCAGGGCACAGCCCACAGCTGTATAGCTATAGGATGCACTGCGTGCCCTGCCTGTCCCTTCATGCCGGGGTGAGTCACTGCTCCTTACCTTGAACTGAGCTGCATAGCTGGGCTGCTCCCAGACGACGTGAGGCTTCCTCCCTAAAATACTCCCTACATTTAAGTAAAGTGGGGTTTTATCACTCTGCATAGCCTTAGAAGATCATAAAAAAAAAAATTATGCATCAAGGGAGGAAAAAAGATACAGGTGGACAAATCTACTGTAAAGAGATAATAAAAAAATCCATGGGAAGCTCAGGCCAATGAGAGAGATGTGCTGCTAAGAAATTTGTGTATTACAGAAAATAGCTCTGCTTTCTGGAGGAGAAATTTTAAAAAGCCTTCAAGGTGTTTAAGTCTTTTTCCAGCATAAAATAAGTTTCATCATTTAAAAATTGCATAATCACCAGCCTAGCTATAATTACAGCACTGCAATTCTTCGCCAAGTATTGGCAGAAGAAATCAGAGCTGGGGATATAAAAGGCTGTTGTCATTTTGGTGGCCAAATTAGAAAGAAATTATTCTTGGTAAACTCAGGCAGGTGGGCTTTTCGAGCCCAAAATATTGAGATTTGTCACAAAAAGCTAAATCTATCATCTTTTAATGATCTCAGTGGTTAGGTTTTTGGATTGGTTGCATTGCTCTCGGTGGATTTACATCAGGATCATTCATGGGACCTGCACGCTGTTTTAAGGTAAAAAGGGTTTCCTTTCTAAAGAAAAACACCCAAGTTCATGGAAATTGCAAAATAGGAAGGTGGCTGGTGATGGCTGAGAGCCATTTTGCAGCTTGTCCAACAAAGGCAAAGAGCACATGCTCTCTCTCAGCCTGGTGAGGGCTCCTGGGCATTGCAACACTGGGAATAAAATAAGGCAGTAAGTCTTTGAGCACCAGTTTAGCACCCCAGCAGGGTTCCTTTAGGGAGAACTGGAGGGCAGTGTCCACATTTAATACCATGGTGTTTGCACCTTGATGAGAGATTTGAACAGTCATATGGTTTAATATTATTTGATGATATCTTTGGTTTGATAAAAACCTGGAGACCAGCGGGAGCGGGTTTGGTCTGGGTTGCCCCCCCCCCCGCGCCGTGGCTTTCACCCCTCTCTGCCATGCGCCGGGATGGATGCTCACCTCGGTGCTCTCTTTTGCAGAGGTGCCGGTGGAGAAGCTGGCCTCCATGGCATCGCTGCAGAGTCTCAACCTGAGGGCAAACCCCGTCGGCCCCGAGGCGCGGCTGCTGGTCCGGCCCCTCGTCCCCTTCGACCTGCTGCTGTCACCGGAGGAGCCCATCCCCGAAGCCTGAGAGGGTCTTGGGGTGCCCGGGCGAGCTCTCCTGAGGGGCGACTGCCTGCGAGAGTGGTTTGGCTTAGGTCAGTCCCTGCTATGCCTCTGTTTTTGTCCCAAAACCAGTGAGGCAGCCAGTCCCTTTTTTTTTTTTTTTTTTTTCCTTAATAAAAAAGCAAGCAGCGGGGCTCTTCTGCGAAGGGATGGCTCTGCCAGCTCCTGAGCTGGAGAATCTCCCACTTAGTGTTTTGCCAAGCGCTTGGGGAGGAAGCGAAGCCAGGATGCACTTGGTGCAAGGTTTGGGTAAAACTGGAGGAGTTGGATGTTTGGCTGCATCCATCCTGCCTGGCCAGTGATGGGGAGCATCTGCTGCGCTGATCCGGGGCTGGGATGGTGGAGACATCCCTGCAGCTGTAAGAGTTCCCCCTTGAATTGCTGATAGGGCACTGTGCCACATGCCTGATTAAATGTTTTCCTGTTTTGTGTGAGGGGTTTTTTTGCATTTGTTAAATTTGAGTTATCAGTTGTCTTCTCCTTAAAGAAGCCCCTTTGCAGATCCTCATGGCTGCTCACTGCAGCTCAGGCTGATCCCAGCAGCAGGATTCTGCCCAGACCTGAGCAGTATTTGTTTGCATTTTCCCAGGGGATTTTTTTTCCAAGGGAATCCCCCCCCCCATGGTTTGACACTGTGGAAATCAAAGCAACTCAGTGTCAGTGGGTCCCTGCATGCTGCTCACCCCAGAAGCATGCACCCACCTCCTGGGTGCTGTGGGTCTTCAAGATGTGCTGCTTTCTCTCCTGGGAAGAAATGGGCTGTGGGGTTCAGGATACAGCCCGGAGAGGGTGGCTCTTTGGTAGCAGGGAGGCCACTGCTAGGCATGCTGGTGTCCCTTGGCAGCTGGCTGCCTGCAAAAAACTCTTGGGTGAAACTGCAGGTGTTATCTCAAAATGCCTCGTTTAAACATCTCCTCTGTTTGCTCCATTATGTTTTTAAGGGACAAACATTTCCCAGTGCCAGGAGTGGAAATATTTGACTTCCAGACCTGCCCAAACCCAACTTTAGTAAAAGATGATGATAAGAAGGGGTTTGTTGATGTTGGTAATGATGAAGGAGCTGGAGTCGAGCAGAGCAGCTTTCGAGCCAGGACCAGCATCCCTAAGGACAGTACTGCTTTTCCCCCCTCGGTGTGTGTGATTTACACGGGATGGAGGATGAGGGTCCTCCCCACTCCTGTCGGGACTCCCAGCGTGTTTCCCATCTCGGGACGGGCAGGAGTGCTGCTGGGGACACCGGCCATCAGCTGGAGGAGAGAGAGGCACCGAGTGCATCAGCGTGGGGACCCTGGGGGTGGCGAGGGGGGCGCTGAGCCCGACCCTCCCCAGGGAGCAAGCCCGCTCCAGCTCTCTCCTTGCCTCCCGTGGGCTGCTGCCCGCCCCCCGCGTTGCCTCAGGCGTGGGAGGGGGTGCGTGCGGGTACCCCGGTATCCATGGCGATGGAGGCTGTCCCCCCCCTCCACCACCCCTCCCCT